ACTTTTTCTTTGGGAAGGGATTTTTTAACTCCCGAAAAAGAACCCAGAGGAAGGGAAAACAAAACAATCAACGGTTTCATCTTGTTTTGGAACTCTAACTTCATTTCCACGCATGAATTCACCTGTCAGTTTTTGACCAATCTGAGACAAGATCATTGAAGCATGGCGAATACTTTTCTGAAACAAAATAAACAACGCATTGAAGCGTTGGAGATGGAATTTCTGCCCTTTATACATAAACTACAGCGTTGAAAATGTTATAAAACAATTGGTTCATACATCAGCTGTGTGCTCGTCACAGTCGAGATATGAAGTACTTGGGAAGTTTGGAGAGAACTCAAGAAGCTAGAGTTGCTCTCGACTATGCCTCAAGCAACTCTTACACATCTTTCGTGCTCTCCAAACTTCCCGCGTGCTTCATATCTTGATGAACGCACGCTGACGTATGAACCAATTGTTCATTCAAGGCTGTGCTCTAAGGAAAATTGATGGGAGCCCAGTGCTTTGAAACTGTGAAATCCAGGATGCCCAGCATATGCTTTTTAGGAAAAAACTAAACTTCCTGAGTCGCCCAAGAGCAAAAGTAAGGCGCCAGGGGCCACCAGGCACTGCTAGACCACAGCCTTGAAATTAAAGAAATTAGAGGTGGATCAATAATTATCCAATGAAGAGACAAATAGAAAAAGTAAGAAGGCTTACAACTGATTGTATAAATTTTTCTTGAAATATTCACAGATGAGAGCAGTACCAGAAAGGAGCCATTTACCTAGCACAGATGAAGTAACACAGCTTTTGAATAATCAGTTCACTGTGTTACAATACCTTGAGGGCCAAGTTGAGTTTTACAAAGTAAGTTTCCTGCTTTCAACCATGATGGACATGCTGAACATTGTTCTTTGAATAGGCGATGGGCACTTATTTAAAATTTTGGAGAAAATGAGGGGCACTTATTTGAAGGAGGTTGCTTAACTGAAGGGGGTTGATATTAAGTTACAGTAGTGCAAAAATAGGACTACAGTTATAAGAACAAATATTGCACATGAAGGAAGTCTGCAAGCATATGGAGATAAAATAACTGGAATGGAAGAGAAACTGTTCCCCAGTACCAATTCTGCTGTAGTTGTAGCTTAAAAAATTATAAATAAAGTGGCAATAGAAATGAGTTTTCCTTATATCCCTATTATATAAAAAGGTGAGGAGAGTGATTATTGGAAAGGGGTGCTTGTTAGATATTGTGGCCCTTGTAGCAGGTAGGCGCTTATGTTGTGGAAGGGCAGTTATTAGAGGAAATACGGAGAAGTACAGAATGGAAGTGAACACTAACTATGTGGCCTGAGTAAACTGTATCATATCTGACAATAATGTTATATGAAACTGAAAAATAATTATTTGGTGAAACTTAAAGCACAGCTGACTTCATTTTTTCTCTGTGGCAAAATGGTAGGATGCCCTGGAGTCTTTAAAACAAAGAGCAGAACTTGTGATTACAGAAAATGAAAATTTATTTGATCAACTCAAGACTCAAGCCATTTCTCAACTGCTATCAACAGGAGAACAAAGCAAATCTGAGGTAACAAGTGTGCTACATGTAGCTGCTAACATTTTGCATATCTTGTAAAAAGGTGAATACTTTTTTGCCCTTGAGCCATGTTGGCCAACAAGGTGCTGGCACTGTTCTCTGGTTTTATAATAGCATGAAGTGACTAGAAGTATTATGCAATCCACCTTTCCCTCCCCAGGATGGGGTACAAGTCCATTACAGTTCACCTTCTCCTGCCTGATCTTGTCAGGTTTTTCTGAAAGTTCTTTAGTACACATTTATACTTTGAGTGGAGAGAGTTAATGTTAGATAAGTGTTAAGTGTCTTGCACAAGAACAGAACACAATGAGTCACACATGTCCTGAACCTTGATATTTCTGCCTGGGATCTAGTTGGCTGAAATTTAAGGCCATGGTGATTTAATTGCCACAATTTATAAATTATTCCTGACTGCTCACTCTTCCAAGCCTGAATAGGAAGTAGAGCTGTCAAAAACATCATGGCCTTCAATTAGTACATGTACATGTAGCTTGCCTCTATTTCACGAAGAAATATTGATTTCAATTTACTATATTATTTATTCGATTAAGTACCCAGGGTGCTTATTTAATTTTTGGACTTTCAGGGTGGGTGCTTATTCGAGGTGGGTGCTTATTTGAGGCTGGGTGCTAATATTAAATTTTCACCATTTTCAGTAAGTAAAAATGAAACAATAGACCACTTTCATAAATGGCTGCCGGATTAATATTCTTTTGTTTAAATTTAAATTTGCCCTTC